ACCCTTGAACTTGTGTTCCTCACCCTGTTGGCCTCCTGACTTACTTAAGTTAAAGTGATGACTGACGTGTCAGCCCTGAAAGACTCCCTGGTTTGGTGGATGCAAGCAGTATTTGTGAACCAAAAAGCAACAAGGGAACTTCGGTCCTGATTTCTTAGGTTAACAAGAATTTATTTTTATTCTGGGTACATGGGCCAAAATGAATAGAATAGGAATGCAGAGACACAAGGTCAAGGGAGGGGGAAACCAGGGAGTTCACCCGATCTCCAGGGACAGGAGCATTCATTGTCCAGGCCTGTGCTGTGGGCCTCGCGAGGGCAGTGCTTGGACCCACTGTGCAGATGAGGCCTTTCTCCAGCTGCAGTGGGACTGTGGACAGGGCACTTGTCCAGTAACCACCAACCCTGCTTTGCCAACCTAGTCAACAAGGCTGTGCCCTTTGACATATTGTCCCCTAGGCCTTTTTCATGAGTATGGTACCTAGAGTTGCTTTCTGTGTCTTGTGGCTCAGATTCCTGTTGACAAGAAGGACTGCTTTCAAGGGAAAAAGGACAGTTTCTTCCCTGTGGGCTGTGGACAGCTGGCCTTACTCCATGTATGTCCTTCACTTCTAGAATAGGAGCTAGGGCTGGGGTGTGGCTCAGAGGCAGAGCACTTGCCTGGCACATGACAGGCCCTGCGCTTGCTCACCAGCACAGATTTTTAAAAAGGAAGAGGGTGAAGAGCCGGAGCCTCAGTGCTTGCACATGAATGGCTCCTGTGCCCACTGCCAGCCCCCCACATAGACTGTAGGAGACACACCAACTCATCTGTTCGTTGACTGCCCCAGGCTGTACAGAAGTTAAATTTATCCAAAGTAAAGAGTTTTATATGGGAAAATAGAAAATTCAAAAACAAAAGTGAAATGTAGAGAAAGAAAACTTAGTACAGTACTCAACAAGGCAAAAAAAAAAAAAAAAAAAAAGGAGACACTCCCTGGGAACACCACGGTCTGTGTTGCAAAGAAATCTAAGTGATATAGTCCCTGCAGGGCAGCCAGGATTCCTGCAGCAAAGCTCAGACGCACGCTCTTTCAACGTTCCTAGGTTCCAAAGGATGCCCTGAGCTAAGGAGCAGCTCTGTGTGAGGGCCTGTGCGACAGGGCCGACAGCATCAGCAAGTTTTCTCAATGCTGCCATTGTGCTAGGATGATCTTACAGCCAGGACACCTCTGCCATCTTGGCTGGAGGAAGAAGAACCAAGAAACCACAACCGAGTGGGCTCGCAGGCAGCCCCGCCTTGCAGCACCACAGCCCATGCTGGGTAAACCATCCATCTCTTTCTGTGTCATGCCCAGTGACGTCTCAGGAGTCTGCAATGTTGCTGCCTCTCTGCCACCACATCGCAGTGCAATCTGGCAGGGCCACTTTCTCTACCTCCTGAATCCACAGGGTCCTTGGGAATGACTCTGACCACTAGCACATGGCAGAGGTGGCCCTGCAACTGACGGGCGAGGCCTTAAGAAAACTGGTAGTGTTCCTTCTGGAACCCAACACCACTGGGCTTCACTAGCAGTGAGGACATTTAGTCCAGCTCCCTGGAGAAGCCTGGATGGCTTACTTAGAAACCTGAATCTCTTGCAGGCAGGTTTATCTGACAGCTGAATGCAGCGCATCCAGGAGCTGCAGCATAACTGGTAAGCACTCAAAGTAAGAGCACGGCAGTGTCCCCTAAGGCCATGGATTCTGCAGTGGCTCCTTACACCCCAAGTGACACCTGACAGGAGCGAAGACCGTAACATGTACTAGGGCAGATAAGGAAGGAACCCTATCTGTCACAAACGTCTTCTACAAACTTCTAAAATCTAATTCATTTCAAACCCTTTAAACTCACAGATGGAGTAAGTTTGCTAATAAGGCTGAAAACAGTGAGGAACTTGTCTTAGAAACCATACTCATGAGTCCGGGAGACACCTCAAAGGCACAGCACCTGCCTGGCAAGCTCAAGGTCCTGAGTTTGATCCCTGGTGCCAAAAAAAGAGAAGGGGCCTGGGAGATGGTTCAGTAGAATAAGTGCTTGCCTGCAAGCTCAAGGGCCTGAGTTCAATCCCTGGTTCTGCAAAAAAA